CCCATCCCCCTTCCCCCCCCCCCCCCCCCCCATGTAATGGAGACAAACAAAGGCAGACATGTTTGAAGTCCAGCCTGGATGACAATCATGGGTCCCATGGCTCAGGGGTTGCTTGCTGCGCACTTATGGTGTCCACGCCTGCAGCCTGGAGTCATGTTGTTTTCTGCTGCTAGAGTCTCTTCCTTCCTCAGAGTCGAAGGGTCTTCTGATCCTGATTCAGTCAAACAACACCACACTAGTGGCATACATAAACTATCAGGAAGGAAGCAGAAGTCTAGCTGTGCAAGAGAGGTAGAGCATATCCTGATCTGGGCAAAACTTCATGTTCCAGCCTTGTCAGCTGTGTACATACCAGGCGTAGAAAATTGGCAGGCAGTGTGGTCACTACACCTGGAGTTGTTTCAGGACCTGTGTCACAGGTGAGGGACCCTGAATGTAAACCTCCTAGCCTCAAGGTCCAACATCAAACCGGACAGGTTTGTATCCAAGCCTAAGCAGTGGATCATCTGTTGACTCTGTGGGATCCTTGTCACATGGAGTTTCTCCATGTAACATATCTTCTTCTTGCTGCAGTGGGGTCTGGACCAGAGTTTGACTCTTGGTATCATCAAAAGTCAAATCATGATTAAGACCTTTTGTGCAGGGGGGTTCCAGTGTGGTTCCCTTGTCCGTTTCCCAGTGACTCAGTAGGATTAGAAATTTTGTTCTCTCTGTGCTTCAGAAGCCACCTTTGAACACATTACAGATATTCTTCTTTCTACTCGCACCCACAAGGTTATTTTCATAGTAGTATTCACCTCTGTGAGGCTAGTTTGTGAATTAGTGGCCTTATTTTGCAAAGAACCCTTTTGGTCTCTCATAGGGACAAGGTGGTATTTAGGCCGAGTACTTCCATCTTACCTAAGGTAGTCTCTGCTAGTAACCAGCACATGGTTTTTCTGTTCCTTTGCGCAACTCTTGTTAAGAGGAAATTCCCCTTCATTGTCTGGATGTGGTTTGGACTAAGTAAGTTCATCTCTCAGCCACTGCTTATTTCAGAAAGACTGATTCCCTTGTCGTTCCAGATGGAGCCCCGAAGGGCACCCCGGCTTCTCGTTCTAGCATCTCTAAGGTGGCTCAGAGGGTCCATTATTCATGCATATGATCTGAAGGATTGGGGTCCTCCCTTTCCTGTTAAGTTTCACTACAGTAAATCTGGGAGTGCCTTCTGGGCTTCTTGGCATCAGGAAACAGTTTGCCAGATTTGTAAGGCTGCCACATGGTCTTATGTTCACACATTCTCTAGTATTTGAAGATTTCTGCCTTATCTGGTACCAGCTTCAGGGGTTCAGCCAGTTTCCTGTTAACAAATGTTTGCTGCATTGCCCACCCCTCAGTTGGACTGCTTTTGGACATCCAGAGGTCCCTTACCTCCGTGTTTATGATCAGGCTGTTAGTGCTGTTTGATAGACAACTGAGGCATGCTGGTAGTAGCAGGGGCTATATCTTGGGCTGGCCTACAGTTTTTTATTTTGTCCAGTCCTCCTGCAAGCAGCAGTATAACCTGAAGGTTTAAGACTTCCTTTGTCCTTCAATAGACTTCACTTCAACAAAAGGATTTTATGGTGAGTACTAGGGATGTCCTGATACCGATGCTAGCATCGGAATCGGGCCCGATAAAGGGCATATTGACAAGTACTTGTCAAAATGCCCCGATACATAGCGCCGAAGCTTGCGCTATGATTTTTTTTTTTTACTTACTGGGAGAGCAACGGCGAGTCGCCGCTGGTTCGGTGGGAGGAGCTCCAGGTGGGGTCCTGCTCTGTCGACACAGAACACTGAGAACGAAGTTAATGGCCGTGAGAAAGGGATGCAGGCGCAGTGTAGGGATGTAAGGCTCGGTGAATGGCAACGCATGTGCGGTATTTGGTATCGGCAAGTACATGAGGGGAGGTACTTGGTCTTGAAAAAGTGGTATCGGGACATCCCTAATGAGTACAATAATAATATTGTTTTATAAAGTTTATTTGGATAATCAGCAGAGGATTTTCTTTTACAGGTTCCTTCAGTGACTTTACTGCAGACATGCCTTCACTACCATCTCTTTTTACTGAACTCTTCAACATTAATGACCGGAGTGATGATACTTTCCTAAATCATTGCATACATACCCTTGGATACAGCTCTAAAGATGTGTCATGTGCAGTGGAAATTCAGTCAGCAGTTGAAGCTTGTTCACATTTTGGCCTACAGATATTCGATCTTGGAAAAAGATTTCTGCAATATGAAGATGTAGGAAATGAAAGGACTAGATCTCTACAGCAGTATTTACAGGTTTGTTATCATTAATGACATTTTCTACTATCTACACCCGACAGAATGCAGTTGTAGAAAAATGTAAATGGGTTATAATTGGAATGTCATATTCCTTTTTTTTTTAATGCATTTCTGATTCTTTTGTAGTTTAAAACATCCACATTTTGTTTTGTGTGGGGAAAAATCATTCTGTGAAAATATAAACCTGTCAATTTTGTTTTTATGAAAATTTGGCATTGTATCATGCTAATACTTTTTTATTTTTTTCTTTTCTGCAACGATATGTGTGATCTTAACACTACTAGATTTGTTTAATTTTTTAATTTAATTTTAAGGCCCCATTCACACTGAGCGATTTTTTGCAGCTATATCGCTCATATTTCCACGCGATATCGCTCTATGTAGCTTCTCCAATCCATTTCAATGGAGCTGTTCACATCTCGCCGCTCAATATAGCTGGTAGCTCGTCGCTGTAGCTTGTCGCTCCTACATGACCCTTTTTTCTGCGGATTTCGAGCGATTTTGCTCCTGATTGCATACAGCCCAATAGGAAAAAGTCGCGTGACAAGTCACGCAATATCGCACATATAAAATCGCGCGATTTTCATGTCGCTCAGTGTGAATGGTGTGGGAGGTGCAGTAAATTTTAATTCATTTAAATGACACCCCAAAACGCATCACCCACCCACAGTTCTGTCGCCTAAATTGGAACGTGCGGTACCGCAATGACGTGCATCCATTGCAGTGGAACTTGGGTCACCAAATGACCAAGGACTAATGTGGGTCCTGAGGTTATACAGGTTGAGAACCACTGGTTTAGAGGATTGTGCCAACAGGTTTTCTGGATCTTTACATTTGATACATAACATGTGTTTGCACTTTTATCAATGTGTTATATTTTTTTATTTTATTAATTGTTTTCATGCGAATGAGCTACTAGTTTCACTTGTCTTTTTTCAATTTTAGGAGTTTTTAAATGTATGAAGTACAGTTTGTACACTCAATTTGCAATATTGTTTAGATATGTAGTGGCTGGATCCAGTGATTAATTGTATCTTGGGCTCCAGACTGTTCTCGGTTCAGGACCCCTAGCTCAGTAGTGCTGCTAAAAAGTCTCAATGAACTCTGAAAGCAGCAGGTTGGAGGCCTGCAAAATTTTCTTTGATGGAATAATTATCCATTGCTATTTTGCCATACCATAACCACAAGCTATTGTAATAATATTATACTGCAGAAAAATTGGCAGCAGATCTCTGAGAGAAGATAAACTGGTTTTCTAGGCAGCAATATGTAGATACATGCAATGCTTAGATCTAAAGGAGAATATATAATAGTTTTGGTCATTTTTTGTTTTTTACAATTACAGACCCCCAGTGGATATTCCAATATGTTCCTATATCCCCTTCTCCAGACTTTTGAAATAATCATCATTACTACTATTCAACAGTGTACGAGTTAAAAAAAAAAAATGAAATTAGTTGTATTTTACATATGGATAGCTAGGAAGAGAAAATCTTAAAGAAAAACATAAGGACTTATATTTATTAATATAAAAATGGCAAGTCACAAATACACAGGTTAGCCACGACTAGTGAGATTTTCGCTGTTGTTTTTGGGCCATCAAAACATGGAATCAAGGTACAGTTACAGACAATGTTGCAGACACATCAAGTCAATTTCAGAAAGTGAAAAATGACTCACAAACACTATTAAGCCTTAATTAAAATGAACAGTATTATTGTGACAATTAAAAGGAACAGTATGATTATGACAATAATGTGCCTTGTTTGTGGTATGAACAATGGACTGTAATGCTAAATCTTTTCTTAGGACCTTGTAACATACAGACAACTAATACAAGTTGGAGGAGCCTCTGTAAGACTGGTAGCAAGAACTCATGCTAGTCCCTGGCTTATGAATGCAAATTGTGTAAAAGAACCAGCTACTCAGGACAAAACACTTTTTAATAAAGACACTGATTGCCCAAAGTCTGATCAACAAGCCTCTGCAGAGCAAACTGAAGGTGACTCCAGCATCTATGAACCCCCAAGAAAGAAAGCTCACTTAGAACTCAAGATTGCAGAGCGCTTATCTGACCCAGAAAATCCAGCAGTTCCTGTAGTTCCAATCAATACTGGAAACATGCAGACTCTTCCGAAAATGTGTACAGGTGAGAACAACCACTATTCTTTCTCAACCATCAAGAAAAACAGTAAGTCTTAAACCTTTGTGTTATACTGCTGCCTACAGAAGGATTGGACACTGGCAGACAGAAAACTAAAGCCTGGTGTATAAACCCTCTTACTACCAGTATGCCTGTTTTTTTTTTTAGTGCCTAAAAAAGACGGATGAACGTCTTTTTTTAATTTAGGTTTGCTGGTTTAGAGTAGACTATTTTCCAGCAATATTGCTTAACTTTATTTCTTTCAAACCTCTCCTCTACACTGCTGGAGGCTTTCCCTCCAACCTGCAGCTATTCTGTGCAGTTGTCCTTAGCCTGGCTTATGGTCTGTAATACAAACCTCACTGGACTGGGCATTGTGGGGATAGCCTGGAAGTGACCTTCAGGCACAAGGTTTTGTGTTGGGTGCTTTCCAGGCTCAGTTTTGGTTAATTTAGCTGCAGAGCGCTTTTAATGGCCAGAGTCACTGGCATTGCCTCTGCATTTTTCCTGTCTTTGAAGAATAACTTAGTGAGTAGACCAGTTGGGCCAAACACCAGATGCTCTCATTTTTATTGATTGCTGGGGTTCATTATTCCCCTTTTTAATGCCAGCTTTGCCCTGGAAGGGGTTAATGCAGTGGGTCTGATTGCTAGCATCATCCACTGTGCATGTGGTCTTCAGCCATTCTTTCCTGCCAACAGCATCAAGATAGCATCTCTCTTCTGCTCCTGTTGCAAAGAGCCACGTAGAACTTCAAGCTGTTCCTGCTGCCTGCCTACAGTTACTTTGATCATCTCATGCCCCTAGCTCACTTTGTACTAACAGATTGAAGGCCGCTTACAGTGTGCCGACTGGTGGTGCTGACATTTGCAGCCTAGAGGCATGCTGTCTTCTGCTGCTAGAGTCTCTTTTCTCCTTGGTTCCATTAGGTTTGGCTCGGGTCCTCTGCCCTTTAGGCTAAGGTTTTTACCACAGTCATGCAAGACTTTATGACCCAAATTACCCAGTTGTTTGCTGACCTGATTTCAGAAGCGTGCTCCCATGTCACCTCCAGCAAATTCTACTGTATGTCTGATTTAACCCACGTGGCTTCTGAACCATCTGCTCTGTATAATTCTAAATTGCTCAAATTCCTGAACCTGAGGATGTGCGGTCTACTGCTATTACTGCGAAGTTAAAGGAGCTCTTATTGATGCAGTGCATGCCACTCTGAAGTTTGAGGATCAGTGCTGTTTCCAGCCTTAGATCATATTGGGCCCTAAAGGCTGCAAATAATTTCTTGTTGCACCACTTTTCCAACTGTTTCTCTATGGTGACTTGAAGTACCCAGATACGTTGTTTGCTTCCTCTAAGCATTTGCTGGCTTTGTATCCACTTCTCAGTATTCAGAAATGGTCCGTTTCCAGCATGGATGCAGCCGCGTCTTGCCTTAAAAAGGTGACTACCATACCAGTGGAGGATGCACTTGCCTTCAAGGATCTAACCATAAGCAGTTAAAAAGCCTTTCCAGAACTCTGCTCTTGCTGGTGGGTCTTGCCATGCACCCGATTCTAGCTGTCACTTTGCTTTGTCAAGCCATGTTTTACTGCTCAAAATCACTTAAGACTAATCTGTGCACTGCTGCTGTTGATCCCTTGGTTGTTAAACACATGGAACACAGATGGCTGTTGGCAGGGCTGGACCCAGAAGCCAGGTAGCCAATGCTCCTTAAAATTCACTGATGTCTAACTTTTGAGGTTTTCTCGAGTTGTTGTTTATGGAGCTGACAAAAAAAAATCTTGCTGGGTCCTTGATAGGACAGACTGTCTCCTGGATTCCATATTAATTCAGGAGCCAGTCTGTCCAATCCAGGAGTCAGCATTACATTTCTGCTGCACTGGAAGCCTCCCATCTTATTTCTCGTATATGCCTCCTGTCAGTTCATATGGCATAGTGCATTTAGCTAAAGTGCTAGATTGAGGAGCTCTCTTGTAAGAAGCATTTAATCTGCATAGTCTTTGAGGGGCAGCGCCTCTTCGGAACAGCTTTTGATAATTTCATCAAGAATTCTACTAGTGGCAAGAGCACCCAGTTTTTCCAGTGAAAGCAGCCTAAGGAGCAGACTGCAAACTCACCTTCCTCTCTGCCTCTTTTTCTTCTTCAACCTTAGTGTCAATGCCCTCCAAGCTTGGGGCCCCATCCACCTGCAAAGTTTGGCATTCCAAGTTTGCCAAATCCTCAGACAAGCCTTTTTATGCATGATCATGTGCCTGCACTTTACAGAGTGGAGGGACATATATTTGACCTTTCTTGCCCTTTTTACCGATGTGCCCCATCTTTGCAGTGCACCACTTTCTGAGTTTACAGTGGGACCAGTAGAGTTTGTGGCTTTTCCCTTCAGCCTATCCTCTGCACCTTGGGTGTTCACCATGTAGCTGGCCCCAGGATGGACCCTGTTGTGTTATTGTGACATCCCCATTGTGAGATACTTGGTCAACCTCCTGTTGAGGTAACAGTCGGCAAGGGCTCTGTCGCACATGTTTCTAAGTCATCTCTTGGAGTATTTGGGTCTGGTCCTGGACATGTACAATGGGTCTTGCCAAATCATTCAAATCTAATGTCAGAAGCACCAATTTCCCATCCTGTTTAAACTTGCTGGAAGTGAACTCAGCTGCTCTCATCATTTAACATGGAAAGCTTACTTTACATTGTGTAAGAATGGGGGCTTTTCACCCCGAAAGATTCTCCATGGGATGAATTCTCTTCTTCCAAAAATTACCGTATTTGCCGGCGTATAAGACGGGTTTCGAGACCTAAAAACATTGCCCGAAAATCGGGGGTCGTCTTATACGCCGGGTATGGATGTGGTATACTGTATGTAGCTTCGGCTACATACAGTATACCGCGCTAAGCCAATCACGGCAGGCTTTGTATTACTGAATACAAAACCTGTATTCATTAATACAAAGTCTGCCGTGATTGGCTCAGCGCAGTAAAATGAATGTAGCCGAAGCTACCGTACATACAGTATTACCACACATCCAGCGGGCTGACAGATTAGCCTCCCTGGCGGTCTGATGACTTTATTTTTTCATTTTTTGTTCTATTTTTGGTTTTATTTTTTACTTTCAACATTGCCGCCGGTTCCGCCCCCCCTGCGACACGGACGCTCGCAAGGGACGGAGGACACAGCGCGGATCGTGGACAAGGTAAGAGACTGTAATCCCGAGTGTGGTTCGGGGTTAACGCTTATGGTACTGAAAATTAACCCCGAGCCACACACGGGAATACCGCCATGGAGGTTAGTGGGTGCATTTAGACATTATTTTGTCTAAATACAAAACCTATATTTTAACACAAAAAGTAGGGGGTCATCTTGTACGCCGGCAAATACGGTAGGTCTGGACCATCATTTGGCTTTCAGCACCATCAAATGTTGTCTGTGCTCTTTCTATTCTGTTTCAGAATCCATTGGTTTCTCAATCTTTGATTAAGACCTTTGTGCAGGAGGTCTCCCATGTGGTTCCACCTAACCATTTACCCGAGACTCTGTGGGAGGGATTTAAATTTGGTTCTGTCTGTGCTTCAGAACATGCTGTTTGAACCCATTAGAGACATTTCTCTCCTCTGTGTTTATGATCATGCTCTCGGCACTGCTTTGCTACAGAACTGAAGCATGCTGGTAGTAGAAATAGGAGTTATACCCTGAGCTGGCCTACAGTTTTTTATTTGTTTGCCAGTGACAAGTCTTCCTGTTGGTGGAAGTATAACCCGAAGGTTTTGTGTCCCTCAATGGACTCCCAGAAAAGGATTTTAGGGCAAGTAAAAAAAATCCTATTTTATCAAAGGGTCTCATATAAACAACAACACAACATGCTAATGTCTTTTAAATAATATTTGTATGTGTTGGCATATCTAGTAATACATAAAGTCCATCTCCAGAGAAAAAAACCTCCCCCTGCGGTAGGACTACCCTCGCAATGCAAGGATTAACAGCTCATTTATTTCTCGGGGACCTGCGTAAAGGATTTTACATATCTGATCCCTGCATCCCCTGCCTGTAACAAGGACACCTGCATCCTTTTTCCTCCTAGGCTCCAGCAGACAGAGGCCTGCTGACGTTATGATATACAGAGCTAGATCATACACAGCATCTCGCATAATGTCTTGCGCCACATGTCTCATGCAACTGGGCTCCAAAGCTGCAGAAAAGGCTGGCAAAGGAGAGAGGTGGGCAGGACATTAGAAAGGTGGTGTGGAGCTGTGAGGGAGTAGCGGGGGGGGAAAAAAAAAAATGTGCACTCGTTTTTGAGCACAGTACTTCTGCATATGTGACTACAATGGGAGATATAGGAAGGCAGAATGAAATGTGGACACAGTCATACATGAAACTTATATGAATGTGGTTCTCATCATCTAGTCAAAGGTATTTATGCGGACTGAATGGACAAAGAAATGATACAGGGTGAGAGATGTTCAAATGGCATGCTAAAGCAAATGACATTTTTGTACTTGCATGTACTTTTACTTATATGTGCTTAGCCTGTTCATCTCAAGTAACGGGTTCACTTGGACCTTACAAATGGTTATTTTATTAGGCTCTGGTGAGCAAATTGGGAAAAGGGCAGGGCTGATAAATGAACATATATCCTGAAAGGGCAAAATGCAGATTCACTTTAACTGTATCTGACTATTGCTAAGCACATTTTGACTTACTACATGCAGCTTTTTGTGAAGTGTTCTGGCCAATGCTTGAGTGACTGGTAACCAGGGAATCCCCGTTTCCTTTTGACATTGTTGTGTTATCATTGAATACTATCCTCGTTGATGGCAGAATGTGGCTTTATAATTAAATACTTTTTTTTTCTTTTTAATGCAGTAGATGCTAAAGCAATGTCACAGGAAAAGTAAGTGATTTTTTTTATATTGAATCTCCTAATTCAAAAATGTAAGGTGAATTATTTGAAAATAAATGTACCTTTCCTAGCCCCCTAATCAATGCTACATCCGCCTGCAGTGCATTAAGGTGTGCAGCCAGCCCAATCTCAATGAATGGGTTGCCTTAAACTGGTCCTACATTATGCAAAATTTGCACATCGAGTGTCGCTGCTGGCACCCTTTTATCCGGCATCCCTCGATCAGCTAATCGAGGGAGCCGGAGGGAAAATCTTCAACTGAACAGAGCCGGCAGCCAATGAGCAGCCGCCTCTGTTTGGGTATTCTGACAGTGGCCGGCAGAATTGTTTATTGTAATTTTTAACTGTCTATAAATGTTATAAAAACTAAATTGATTAAAAGCACAATGATGCATGAAAACTTCTGTCCATCATAATTGTCCATTCAATAAATCACTATAAATTGAATGCTGATTGGTTGCATCCAATATAGAAAGAAATAGAAATCTTTAAAATAAGCACAAAGCCAAACCATTTGGGCAGAAGGGCTTACTATTCCAATGTAGTTCCCTTGACTATCTTGCAGCTCTGAGGTACAGTCTTGGTTATCCCACCACATATCTTCAAAAAAAAAAAAAGAACAAGCAGAGAATGCACAGACTGTGTAGTAGTTTTATTACAGAAGCGAAGGAGAATAAAATGCACTCACAGGAGGGAGGGGAGATTGTCCACACATCTGTAGTCTGACTCCAGTCCAGGAAGTCCCCTAAACCATTTCCTGTGGCCGGGAAAAGGTGTACTTTGTCCAGGACCTCAGGAAAACCAGCCGGTAGCTAGAAACACCCCTGGTGCAAAGCACGTCTTTTAAATCCACACAGAGCAGGAGTCCTCCCACTTCCAAGTCAGTGTGGGGTAGCTGTCAAACATGGTGACACATTTTGGGGTTGGGCACCCCTTTGTCAATCCTAGTTTGACAAGTATCTAGTGTAAGATATAGATGAGGGGGGCATGCCAGGGAAGGGCAGAATTAGTTGTCGGCAGCCGAATGCTACATTCATATTTCCACCTGTGGGATAAAATTGACCATAGGATTTTAAAAAAACAGATGCAATACTTCCAATTAGCGATGTGATTTAATATTTTTTTAATCAAATTTGTTAAATACACATCAATGAATGAGATTATCGGCACTGCGACAGGAAAGCTGTGACCCTACACAGAAACCATGCTATCTTCCTCTCCTCTGTCCATTCACAGAAGCTTTTATATTTTGTGAATGGTTTACAGAATATAAAGTGTTTTATGAAAGGACAAAGGAAGAGGAGAAGAGAGTAAACAACAGCGCAGCTCCTGTATAGGAGAGCTCCAAGTCTCCTATCGCAACTCGAGAAGTATAGAAACGGCTATTTTATCCAGGATCAGTGGCAGTAATTAATAAGGAAAAACCAGTGATTCTGGAGGTGGCACACACCATTACAGTTAACTAGTTATTAACCAGCACATGGGGGGGGGGGGGGGGGGGGGGAAATTCCGGGTTTTTTTTTTTTTTTTTTTAAAAAAAAAAAAAATTTTTTTA